TATATAATATATATATATATATATATATATATATATATATATATATATCACTGGTAGGCAGCCAAATCAAGTCTAGGTCCTTGGTGAAACTCTCTGAATATTTTCCTTATGCATTCGCCAATAGCTTTGACATCATGCCCAAAGAATGTCAAGAAGACTCAAAAAAAGGGACCACTTTTGTTCAAAAAATCTCTTCACAATTGACAATGAAGCTACAGAATCCAAGTAAAAGAGCCCCAGTAATTTGTTTCACAAGATTCATAAATGAAACTCAAGTCTATCTTGTGGCCGAGCCGGTTCACGTCATCGGTTTTAGGGAGTATTTAAAAAGTCAATGGGGCAACCAGGGACTTACCTGAGTCGTTCTAGATCGGGAACCAGGCTATTCTGGGCTGAAAAATCCAGAATTGCCCCAAGTCACACGACTTTTTCAAAAGCTTTGATTTTTAGTAAAAATTACTGGGGCTGAGTCAGACCCAGGGGACTCAGGCTTATGCCCCTTGCAAGTCGGAACTTAAGCCCAACTTCTTAAACACAAGTTTCAGGCAGATTAGCTGCCTTGCATGTAAGTTTAAACATGGCATGTGAAAACAAACGTTATACTTAAATATGATTCCACAAAAGCACTATTTGTTTCACTCTCGAGAGGGCACTTTGATCTCTCACTCTCACTTCTATTGTATGCTATATACAGTATGTAATCCTTATGTCAATATGGAGACATTTATCTCAACCTCCATACCCGGTAGTTGTATATATGTTTAAATGTTACCTGCAAGAGAAAAACAGCATTCCAGTGGCTGAATTCTAGCTCTTGTGAACTTGTGAATGATATGTGAATTACTCTAACATGACACGTTCAGCTTTTAGGTTGTCACAATCATGTCAAATTTCAATATTTTCGCAAAACTTGATTAAGAAAGCATATTTCTTAAGGAGGATCTGAAATCTAAGATACCCTATTGCCACAAGGCTCCCAAAGTGGAGCTAAACCAAGGGAATTGTTTTCTCTTGAACATTGAATAAATTCCATTGATTCAAATACTAATGATAATGCTGATGATGATGAATAAGATGATGATGATGATGATGATGATGATGATAAGAATAATAAAAATGATAGAACTGTACATGTCATATATACACAAAAAATGTCTTCACAAAAATTCAGAGCAGCAAGCTAGTTATGCACAAGATTGACCCCGAATCTACAATGACTATACCCCTCATTATACTTGAATGATCAATTCTATACGTCATACATCTGTTTCCATTGACACAATGGAGACACACACCTCAATCTGGATGATGGGATGATGCCACATAACCAAAGTGTGAATAGTTACTGTGCATGCGAAGGCCACCATCAACCATAGAGGATCGCTCTCACAGAGCCAATGGCTGATGAGATACCTTTGTGGCAGTTTGATAGATCCCACAATATTTTTGACCAAGAAAATTATTTATGGTCATATAAGTTTCCAATAACCCCAAATATTAACAAAGCTGATAAAAAAAGAAAAAAAAAGTCATTGCTCACCTTGGCATTGATTACTTCCGTCCGGCGTAAGGTCGTTGAAAGTTTAAACTATCAACTACTAATCATTTAGTGTTAAAGAGTTGGTAAACTGTGCAGAATGCTTCGCTCTAAGGGAAATTTGACTGGATAAGACAGTAAATCATATTCTTACTACTTAAAACCGGCCAAAGGTATCTAAACCTTCTTCTTTTGCAAATGAATCAAAAGAAATGTTTTAATCGCCAGGACAGGTGACAAAAAATCAATAGTGAAGAATTTTCTCTAAGTTTAAGTTGCAAAAATCAACTCCTGTTCAAGAAGTTTATGAAACGACAAACTCAATTCCTGTCTCATCAAAGAAGGTTTGCAGTGCTCTTTGTCATTGGTCAAAGATTCCCAACACATCGCATCATTATACAGTGCTTCCTATTTGAAACATTGAGACTAGAAGCTTGGACATTTCTCATGGTTCACGTTTTCATTCACTTTCTAATGGCCACATAAAAGAAAGGAAAAAAGAAAATATTACCTGAACCATGCACAGGTTCACTTATGCTGGGTTCTTGTAATTTTGAAACGTTGTTTCTCACTTTCTTGAGAAGCACACTGTATTTTTTCTTTTCTGAGTTCCAAGTTGGGAAGGACACAACTATAGTAAACCTCACTTTAAGTCAGGACTGCCCATGTTCAGCCCCTTTTCTCTTTTCCCAAAACAAAACCAAATGAATTACAAACTCAGAAGCATAACTATCTTTGAAAAGCAATTCAGAGGCATATACATGCCAAACAGTGCAACTGTCACATTGGTACCAAAATTATTGGCGTACCTCAGAAAGAACAAGGTAGCCATGGGCCAGAAATCATCAATGACAAGAAGGCTTACCGAGAGAAATCAGATTACCCAATAATTCATCCTCCCTTATTTGATAACAATGCCATATACCACTGCCCCAACATATAGCATGAAATATCATCCAAGTAAGACCTTGACCTACATTTATTTGTGATGGAATATTCAAACAAGAGGGATGGTAGCCTTACATTTGTGATGCTCTTTTGACATAGAAAGCTCGAGCCCAGATACTGCTGAGAAAACTATTCAAATCACAAAGCACACAATTTCATCATTAATGTCCAAACTGATAATAGAATACAAAGACCAAAATTAGCATCACAAGGAAAATAAAATAAAAGGAAGCAGAGCAAAATAAAAAATAAAAAAAAACGAAGAGATATGCACAAGAAAATCATTACCTGAAATTGCAGGGGTAAGAACTCCATCACCAATAACCATACAGGTCCCTATCAATGCCAAAATTAGCAGAACCCTTTGTAAGACTTTATGCTTTTCCAGTAACAATTTCACCCTTGATCCAATACTAGTTTCGGGGAGACTATCCTTTTTATATGTAGAGAGTGCCTCATCTGCAACCTGACAATTTGGCAAGAAACTAACTCTAGCATGCCGGCAAAGCAAAGAATACAAAGCAAAGGTTCCACCTGCATCAATCAAGAAAAAAGTAACAGCTATAAATCAAAATACAACTAGTCCAACCCAATTTCAACAGAACACCGGCCAATAAAAGAATTAGATTCTTTTTTCAAACTAAGTAATAGTTTGGTTTTGGATCTCACCCTACCTTCACCATTATCGTCGGCTTTGAGAACGATGAAAACGTATTTTAGCAGAGGAACCAGAGTAAGGGTCCAGAAAACAAAGGAGAGAACTCCATAAATCTCCTCATTAGTCTCTGAATGCCTAATATCTTCGGCAAATGTGCTCTTGTACACATAGAGTGGAGAGGTACTCAAATCTCCATAGACCACACCCAAGCTCTGATAGGCCAATGTCAAAACAGTCTTCCATGACTCTTTCTGCAACAAGGACATGAAGAAAACCTCATAAACATCTACATCATTAAAACCCAAACTCAATGCCCTAGACCAATACCCATGCAATTTCTTTAATCTTAACACTGAAACAAAACCAGTTGATTCCAATTAAATGAAACTTGAGTCTTCTTTAAGGAGAGTGACAGTTGTTTCAGCAAGAGTTTGAAGCTGAGACTAAGCCAAACTTGAATATTCTCAAGACCTTAATATTTCAGCAAGCCTTTTTTTTTTTCTTTGCATTGTGATTATTGCCAACATAATAAGCCTTCTTAAATTCTGGATTTTTTCAGCTAGCCTTTGCAGTTACGGTTTGTCTCCATTTTTCAAGAACTTGGCAAGAGAAAGAGCATTTTTACTGTTTCATCAGAAGAACAAAACTCCATTGGTTTTATTCACAAACAATTACAGACACTTCTTTCCTCATTGGAACAACCCATAAAATGATTTCCCTCTTCAAAAAGCATTGCCTTTTTCTATATCTGATTTAACAGAATACAGTGAATTACATCCTTAACTGTAACCAATATCAATTATCAACGCTGTGAAATAGCTAAAAGAGGGAGACAAGTTCAAAAACAGAAAAGCCCATCAGCTTGAACTCCAAACTTGCACAGAGAGAAACTCACCTTAACAGAGTTAGCATATAAACCTCCCTCAATATCCATGTCCAGCCAAAAATCAGAACATGGGGAGTCCCATTTTCACAGTGAAAGGAAACCCAAGAAGAATCTCACAAGTTCCTGTCTTATATGTATTCTTAAGCACTGTGAAATCAGGAGGAATACACCGGGGACTTAGAGAGAGAAAATCACATAGAAGAAATGGTATGGAAAAAAGGAGATGTTGCAGGAGCACCCACAAACGGAAGGATACCGAATCCGGAATTATGTCAGAAGCAAACACTTGAAAAAGGAGTGAGAAGAGAGAGAAACTTCGAAAGAGGAGAGAGAAAGGAGGAGAGAGAAACTTCAAAAGAGGAGAGAGAAAGTAGGGGAGAGATAAAGAGCACTGGCGTTAGAATGCAAATACACGAGGCCTGCATTGCAATAAGGCCCATTAAACAATTGGGTGCGGGTCCCACCGTTGCATTTCTCAAATGACACGGAAATGCCCTTGCCATTGCTTTTAATGACTATTTTACCCGAGGTCTTTTGCCTTTCAACGCGTTCGTCCGTTACGTCCACGTCGGGGTTCATTGTTAAGCCAAAGGATCTGATTATGCGCATGACCAGAAGTGACCTAAAGATTTTCATTTATTCCGATGAAGGATTTGTGCACGTATTTTACTGAGGAGCAATCCATTTAAGGCGCACCTCCAAATTTTATCATACCGTATAATTTTGATGTAAAAATATTTTTAATATTATCTCAAAATCTATTTTTATATATAGTTATAAAATTTTAAACTCCAAAAATGATTAAAATCAAGTAGGTCTATAAAGATATGAAAATCTTGAAAATAGATAGACTAGATAATGTTTTGTAAGATACATAATTTTTTAGACTTAAAATTATTTCTTTTTTATTAGTCATACATCTCAACATTAAAATGATTAATTAGAGAGTTTTTCAATATTAAAACAATATTTTTCAATGGATTTTTTCGATGCATCTATAATTCTACATTTTAAGGCTGCAACCTTACATAATCTTTTACCTTTTACTAAATGTGATGCGTGTGTTGATTGTGTTTCTTGCGTGTCTCCACGGATGCTTTGTTAACACATCGACATATTAATTGCGCCAGGAATGGATTGGGACATGTTCGGGCTGACTCGATCCCAACCTAGATCGCACATGATAAGGGTTAAGTCTAACCCAGACCCATCTAGACTCGGGTTGGGTATAAATCAATTGGATCTGGACCCGGCCCACTTGGTTAGGTCTAAAAATTTAAAAATATAAAAGATTATGCTATATATTTATAAAATATTATGCTATATATTTTATACGAAATACTATGAGACCCTCTTACATCCATGTGAGTAGGACCTCAAAAGATCATCATTAAATTTTGACACAGATATTTACGAAAGTTATCAATAAACCCACTCACTCAAGTTCCACACCCATTCACTCAATTCTCATACCCATGTGATAATTTTTTTAGAGATGTGTCAAAATTTAATACTGGGTTGAGGTAGGTTGACCTTGACCGAGACCCTAATTGACCTAATAGGGTCCAATGTGGTACCTAGATTCAAACCCATCCTAGGTCAGGTCAAGTAGACCTAGACCAACCTATCAAGTCATTTTACGAGGTCCAAATCTATCGCTAGTCGGGTCGATCTATTGGGTCCACGGGTTGACCCTACCCGTTTCCCACCATACACATCAAGAATGCGATGCATGTATTTAATACTTTATGAGAATTAGATGCATTTAAATTCGTGTAAGATACTGACAGACATCCATTTCAAAGGCAGCACAACATATTGGTTAAGGTGAAAAATTATAAAAGTGTCAACCCTACTATAGAAGTATGGTATCTCACAAATCCATCCAAAATGTTCCCACGTCGAAATAGGATTTATGGATATAACCTGAAATAGGATTTATGGATATAACCTGCAAATGGTGATTTTAAACTCAAGATACATAGATACGAAGTAAGTAAGGATTTTGAATCTTAAAAATAGTTCTAAAAAAAAATACACATTATCTAAACCATTAATTTTCAAAATTTGTAAGTATATAGATAGGTTCGATCTACGCCTACCATGTTTAGAACTTTAAATTTCATAATTAATAAGTGAAAATAAATTTTTAAACTATCGTAAGGGCTTCCAGCACCAAAACTGCATTTTTCAGCAAGATTTAGAGGTGCTTATTTCTTCGATTATTTTGCCCATCGCAAAGCCAGTACTAATGCTTCCTAGACGGGGTTCGCTCCCATCTATTCCTATTCTGGACCGATTCCAAATCGAATTGCTGGGTCTAGAAACGCTGTGTTTTTTTCGTCTATTATAATACCCTCCTGCCTATATCTAATAAGATAGAGAAATGATCGGAGTTAATGGTGTTTAAGAAAGGGAAATGAGACTATATACATGATTATCAAGATTGGTCGGAATACAGACGCTTTGGTATTTTTTCGTCTATTATAATACTCTCCTGCCTATATCTAATAAGATAGAGAAATGATCGGAGTTAATGGTGTTTAAGAAAGGGAAATGACACTATATACATGATTATCAAGATTGGTCGGAATACAGACGCTTTGGTAGGTTTGGTTCAAAAATTAAGTTTGATAAAAAGTTAGTCAAAATTAGTACTTGGCCGAACGGTTAAAATAACAAGTAATGAGCCTTTAAAAATGGTGAAGCAAATATTATGACATATTTCCTATGTTTAAACAATTTTTTTTATTTTATATTTTGTTATCAAGGTCAATCTATTTAACTAACTATTAGAATAGTTTTAATAACGGACCATCACCGTCATTTTGATTGGACGAGACTCCTTAGGGTCGGGTTGACACTCATTCTATTTCTTCATTAGATTCCTTGGTGTCATTGATAACAGTGCATTACTTATTTATGAGAAGAAGGATACATATTTATTGTATGTAGTTTGCATACGATTGCAACTTTAAACAATCAAAATTAAGGCGCACTTCCAAATTTTATTATAAGGTGTAATTTTAGTTTAAATTTTTTTTAAGATAGCATGAAAAAAAAATTATCTTTAATTATAAAATTTTAAATTCAAAAAATAGTCCAAATCAAATAGAAAGATGCACTATTTTTTAAAATCAAAATGTTTTTTTCATACTTATTCATAGAGGGTCTTTCAACATGAAAACAGCTTTTTTACTGAATTTACAGCCTTTTTCACTGCATCTTAATTCTTTTTTTGGGTAAGTAGGTGCATCATAATTCTACATTAAAAGAGCGTTTTGAGTATTAAAAAAAAAGGTGGGGGTACTATAGTCATTTCCCGTAAGAAGACTCCAGAAGATTAGGGCAATTGAACTGCCCACGCCCCCCACCGAGCCCCTACATTCTCGCCACGCTTCTGAGGGACGCAGAGAAAGGGCAAGTTAGACACCGTTAAAAAGATGTTTTAGAGAGAGAAAGCGCGTTGGACCAGAGCGAGAGGGGGGCGTGCGTTGTAGAGAGAGAAGGAATGAGAATTGGACCAGAGAGAAAGTGTAGGCAGTGGACCAGAGTTAGAGAGAGAGAGGCGTGGGTTAACGGCAGTAAAGCCTGTGGGTCCCATATTGAGTTGATGAGAATTTAGAGAGAGAAAGTGAAAATTAGATAGAGAGAGAAGAGAGAGTCTGTGGGACTAGAATTTCTTGCCCTTTTACTGATGGGTCATGTAATTTACGATTGGGGTTGGTGAGATGTTAGAGCTAGAAAATTGAATGCTGAGGATTTTGGTCGGTTTGTTGAATGGTTCAACAGTTTTTTCATTTTGAGATTTATTAAGTTTGGTGAGGTTTTAGTAGGTAATCGATGAAAATGGCCCACTTAAACGTTTCATTTTGGATTTATAAAGTTGGTGAGGATTTAGAAAGTAAAGAATGAAAATAGCCAACTTAAAGGCTTATGCTTCCGGGGGGGGCCAGTTTTATCTCATATATCTAGATTTCGGAAAATATTTTGGATAGGGCTGCAGTTATGTCAACATAAGTACAGTTTCACTTCAAAACTAAAAATTGCTGTTACAACATCGGAAACCTTCAAATCGATCATCTTGGCCTGACTATGTGGTTGGAAAAGAAATTAAGATTTTAAATTCTAAAAATGGTGTATAGTGTAACACATCATCTAACTGTGTATTTTGCACTAAAAATAAGTGTTCATCGATCTGTAAGATCTGTATCATTTTTTTAGATTCAAATTTCATAATTGACATTATAAATTGATTTTATAGTCATTACAGAGATTTTTTATACCTAAAGTGCTTGCCGAATGAAGATTTGAGTTGCAACTTTATTTCATTTTGAAAAAGCCTAGGCTTTATATAACTTGCATCATTTTTTTTTTTTCTTGTGGTTGAGTTAGCGGGGAGAGGGCCTTTACCCTTTTACTAGAAATTGAACCTAAGACGTAGAATTGCAAATCGTCAAGCCCCAACTAATTAAGCCCGGGTTCTTTTCGTAAATTGCATCCATTTACTTATCAAAGCAAGTTCATTACCAATAATGGCATTAATGCCCCGGTAAATTTAATTTATCACCGATTGTTAAGTTTCTTGTCATTATCACGATTTAATATGCATTAAATCTGATAATAAGATCTAACAATCTGAATTCTCGAAGAAACGTCTGCTACCTAAAAAGTGCTTTAAAGTTTACGTGAGGCAGATGGGATTGATACTAGTGAAATTTATCAAAATTGCCTGAGAGAATAACTATTCAATATTTTACTCATTTGTAACTATTCCAACTATTCAATATTTTTTCTTTTTAATGTTTGATTTTTTGAAGATTAAATTGTTGAAAATTTACATAGAAAAACATTTCACACAATTAAGAATAGGGCTCCAACTTCACGAGTTAGGAGTTTACATTCCGGAATCAATTAATGCCGTTGGATTACCCAAATTAATTACCCAAAAAAACATGGTATTCACTAATATGGGAAAACTTGGGCGTGCCAACTCAGACTCGCCACCATGACAGAGTTTGAGTATCCTCGAGTTGGGTCCGACTCGAGATCCTATTTTTTTTAAAAAAATAATATATATATATATAATCCAAAGAATATCAAATTTATTTGTAATAATTTTTTTTATATTTTCGATCATTTTGACAAAGATTAAAAAGTGTTATGGCCATGAATAATTATTTATATATTTCTTTTATTTTTGAAGTATTTCTAAAATGGCCTTGTCACAAATTGATTTTTTTTTATTTAGTTTAATTTTACTTTAAATATATTTTCCTATTTTTATATTTTTTATTTTTCAAACACTTTTTGTGATAGCTGGGCTCTCGACCCGAGGTACTCGGCCCGGCCATGCGGT